CTCAAAGCAATTGTCATTCTATGAGTCTGCTGTGTGGACTGCTTCCCATGTTGGAACATTCTCCTTTTTAATTCTATCTGCTATAATTACCCCACATTTGATCCTATTTATATGGTCATTTTAATCGTATCTATATGTTCACTTTAACACTTAATATGATCACTTTAACACTTAAAATGACATTTATATCACACAGCTTAATGGGATTTGGGGTCCCATGACAAGTTTTTAAACTGTACCATTAGAAGTTAGTCCTTAGGAATGTATGCAGAACTGTACAGCTTTACAGTTAAAAACTGTCTCCTTCCTCTTATTCCACTCTTATTTCTTACTGAGATCCATCCTCAATTGACTTTATACACATATGATCAACTCTATGTTAGATAAAGAGTTCAACAAATAGTATGAAGAGAAAAAAAAATAAAAAAATAAAAAAATGTTCCTTGACAGTCAAGACAAGGGCTACTCAAATCATCCTTTCTCAAAGTGTCAATTTTACTTCTGCAGCTTTCATTTTAGGTGCTCTATTCATTCTTGTAGATCAGGGAGAACATATGGTATTTGTCCCTTTGGGACTGGCTTATTTTACTAAATATGGTGTTTTCCAGATTCATCCATTTTGTTGCAAATGATGAGATTTCATTTTTTTACTGCTGTGTAGTATTCCATAGTGTACACATCCCATAATTTCTTTATCCAGTCTTTGGTTGACAGGCATTTAGGTTAGTTCCATGTCTTAGCTATTGTGAATTGAGCTGCAATAAACATGGAGGTACAGATAGCTCTTTTGTTTACTGATTTCATTTCCCTTGGGTAAGTTCCCAGGAGTGGGATGGCTGGGTCATATGGTAAGTCTATATTCAGAATTCTGAGGTATGTCCATACTGTCCTCCATCGTGGCTTTACCCGTTTACATTCCTACCAGTAGATTAGGGTACCTTTTCCCCCACATCCTTGCCAGCATTTGTTGTTTGTTGATTTCTATATGAAAGCCATTCTAACTAGGGTGAGGTGAAACCTCATTATGGTTTAGATTTGCATTTCCCTGATGGCTAGTGATCCTGAGCATTTTTCATGTGTCTGTTGGCCATTTGGATTTTCTCTTTTGAAAAATATCTGTTTAAGTTCTTGGCCCATCTCTTAACTGGGTGTTTGTTTTGTTGTTGTGGAGTTTCTTGATCTCTTTGTAGATTCTGGTTATTAATCCTTTATCAATTGCATAGGGCAAACAGACCTTTTTAAACAGATTTTTTTATAGTTTCTTGTTTTTTTTTTCACTGAATCATACAAAGATGTAAAGCTTTTATAGTGTGTTCATGATTACAGGTAGCATTTTGGGGACATTGGATAATTTATGTTTTTGTTGTGTGGTTATGGGAAGTTGGCCTTGGGGTATAGCTCAACTGTAGCCTCCATTTTTATCTTTAACAGTTTCAACCTTTAAATATGTAGTTTTTAAAAAAGATTTATTTTATTTATTTGAAAGACAGAGTTACAGAGAGAGGTAGAGACAGAGAGCGAGGTATTTCATCTGTGGTTCACTCCACAGATGGCCACAATGGCTGGAGCTGCACTGATCCGAAGCCAGGAGCCAGGAGCTTCTTCTGGGTCTCCCATGTGGATGCAGGGGCCCAAGCACTTGGGCCATCTTCTGCTGCTTTCCCAGGCCATAGCAGAGAGCTGGATTGGAAGAGGAACAGCTGGGACTAGAACCCGTGCCCATATGGGATGCTGCGCTTCAGGCCAGGGTGTTAACTTGCAGGCCAGGGCGTTAACCTGCTGTGCCACAGCACTGGCCCCTAAAAATGTAGTTTTCTTTAAAAAAGAAAAAGTCTATGAGGCTGGTATTATGGTGAAGGGAGTTGAATTGATGCCTGTGACGTTTGGCATTCCATAGCAGAACACTAGTTCTAGTCCCAGCTGCTCTACTTCCAATCCAGCTACCTGCTAATGTCCCATGTGGGAGACCAGATGGAATTCTGGGCTCCTGGCTTTGGCCTGCCCCAGCCCTGGCTGTTGCAGCCATTTGAAAAATGAATCAGCAGATGGAAGCATCTTTCTCTCTCTCACTTTGCCTTTCAAATAAATAAATCTTTATTTTTTAAAAGATTTATTTATTTAAAAGTTAGAGTTACACAGAGAGAAGAGAGGCAGAGAGAGAGAGAGAGAGAGAGAGGTGTCTTCCATCCGATGGTCCATTCCCTAGTTGGCCGCAACACCTGGAGCTGAGCTGATCTGAAGCCAGGAGCCAGGAGCCAGGAGCCTCCTCCGGGTCTCCCACACGGGTGCAGAGGCCCAAGGACCTGGGCCATCTTCCACTGCCTTCCCAGGCCACAGTGGAGAGCTGGATGGGAAGTGGAGCAGCCAGGTCTTGAACCTGTGCCCATATGGAATGCCAGCCCTCCAGGCCAGGGCGTTAACCCACTGTACCACAGCAGCAGCCCCAACAAATAAATCCTTTAAAAGTTTATTTCTTCATTTTTATGTATTTGAATGGGAGAAAGAGAGTTTGGTCTTCCTTCAACTGGTTCACTCTCCAAATGCCCACAACAGCCATGATTGTCCCAGGCAAAAGCCAAGAGCCAGAAACTCAACTCATATCTTAAACTTTGGAGGTAGAGACCCAAGTACTAAGGCTATCACCTCCTTATTTCCAAAGAGTACATTAGCTGGAACCTGGATTGGATGCAGAGGTGGGATTGAATCCCAGGGACTCTGATACAGAATGTGGGCTTCCCAAGAGGCTGCATAATCCTTTTACCACAATGCCTGTCCCCAAAAGTGGTTTTTGATCAGCAACTTCAAATGTAACACAAAAATATATAATGATATAGTATGATAAATATCTTTGCACATATATCCTAGATTCAATAGCTAAGGTTTGCTATACCTGCTTCATTATTCCTTCTTTTCTGAATTATATTAAAGCATCTCCCAGTCATTGTCATTTGACACTCCCCCTCATACACCATACTTTGGTATGGGTCTCATAAAAGGAATGCTTTCTTTTTTAAAATTTTTTATTTATTTATTTGACAGGTAGACTTATAGACAGTGAGAGAGACAGAGAGACAGAGAGAAAGGTCTTCCGTGCGTTGGTTCACTCCCTAGATGGCCGCTATGGCCAACGCTGCGCCAATCCAAAGCCAGGAGCCAGGTGCTTCTTCTTGGTCTCCCATGCGGGAGTAGGGGCCCAAGCACTTGGGCCATCCTCCATTGCCCTCCCAGGCCACAGCATAGAGCTGGACTGGAAGAGGAGCAGCCTCCAGGACTAGAACCCGGCACCCATATGGGATGCTGACGTCACAGGCGGAGGATTAACCAAGTGAACCACAGTGCCAGCCCCTTTTTTGCTTTTACAAATTTTGTATGCAATGCAAGTTCAATATAAAGAAAAAATAGAAGGGAGAGAAAGTATGAGGGAAAAATGCTCACTTGTAGCTTCAGCACTCAGACATAAACTACTGTTGATATTGGGGTGTGTATGTTCATCTAGTCTCTTTGATTTGCTTATGGAGGTTTTAACTTTTATGTTTTTTTTTTTAAGTTTACTTGAGAGGCTGAGAGAGAGAGAGAAAGAGAGCCAGTGCATGAGAGAGAGATAGTGGTTTACTCTCTAAATGTCTACCGTGGCTGTGGCTGGGCCAGGCAAAGCTGGGAGCTGGAATCTCAATCTAGGTCTACCACAAGTATGACAGGGACTCGTCTACTTGAGCCTTCACTGCTGCCTACCAGGAAGTACATTAACAGAAAGCGGGAACTGCCCAGACCTGAACTCAGGCACTCTGATATGGGATGGAGGTGTCCCACGAGGTGTCTGAGTTGCTAGACCAAATACCTGTCCCCACATTTACTTGTTGTCAATAAAAATCATGTACATACTACTTTGCAATTTAGCAATTTTGGACATTTTCCAGTCATTAAAGTATTATTTTACAACAAACTTTATGCCTCCATGGTATTCCATTAAATGGATTTGTCGTAATTTAAATTTGTAAACAATCCATTGTTGTTTTGGGGCATTTAGATTTTTAAAAAGTGAATTATTTTCTTTTTTTGAAAAAGATTTTATTTATTTGAAAGGCTGTTACTGACAGAGAAAGAGAGAGAGAGAGAGAGAGAGAAACCTTCCACTCACTGGTTTACTCCCCAAGTGGCCACAATATCTGGGGCTGGGCCAGGCCAAAGCCAGTAGCCTGGAACTCCATCTGGATCTCCCGTGTGGGTGGCAGGAGCCCAAGCACTTGAACCATCTTCTGCTGCTTTCCCAGGTGCATTAGTGGATCAGCTGGAAACTGGTGCATATGGGATGCCCACGTTGCAGACAGCAACTTAACCCACTGTACTACAATGGCAGCTCCAAGTGAATTATTTTCTACTGCTGAATACTTGTTTTTACTTTTCCCTACATTTTCTTCCAATACCAGAAATAATGGACTTAGTATGGAGAATGTGATGCTGATAAAAATAATATTTATGGCTGGTGCTGCGGCTCACTAGGCTAATCCTCCTCCTTGCGGCGCCAGCACACAGGGTTCTAGTCCCGGTCGGGGCTCCGGATTCTGTCCTGGTTGCCCCTCTTCCAGGCCAGCTCTCTGCTGTGGCCAGGGAGTGCAGTGGAGGATGGCCCAAGTGCTTGGTCCCTGCACCCCATGGGAGACCAGGAGAAGCACCTGGCTCCTGGCTTCGGATCAGCGCAGTGCGCCGGCCGCAGCGCGCCGGCCGTGGCGGCCATTGGAGGGTGAACCAACGGCAAAGGAAGACCTTTCTCTCTGTCTCTCTCTCACTGTCCACTCTGCCTGTCAAAAAATTTAAAAAAATTAAAAAATCATATTTATGAAATATACTTTGACAGAAACTACATTCTCTCTATATACAGTTTAATTAATTTTATCATAATAGCAGAAATACTTGTGATAATTCCCAAATACTGTTTTCTTAATTATAAATGAGTAAGATCTTATTTTGATTCTCTCTCAAAAAAAGTGTTTTTATTTTAGATCCGAATGCAGGCTCAAGGAAGCTTGTTCCAAGGGAGCATGATTGGCAGTTTCATTGACATATATCAACAAGAAGGCACTAGGGGTCTGTGGAGGGTGAGTACTCTTTTTGTTGTTGTTGTCCTATACTCTCAGTTCCTAGAATTTGCAAAGAATATTTTGATGTAAAGCCACAAAATTGTGAAGTATAACCCACAAAATAAGATAATATACTCCTCGTCACCTGTGAAAGGACCTGCACCTGCCAGTGGTTTTTATTTCTGCATGATGTATAAGTGAGGAAAGTTGTTATGTTATTTGAGATAGCCATTTTGATTTGTTCAAATTCACAGTAAATTTAGTTCTTCAAGGTATTTTTTGTCAGTTTTGTACTAATATAGTAATATGTGTCTGTGATAGTCTCAGTAATACTTATATTCAAAAGTTGTTACATAACTTTTTTAATTTATAAAAAGTAAATTATGCACTATAAAATATTTAGTAGATATAAAAAATGGAAAAGAAAAAATCGAGCAGTCTTGCTATCTAGAAATAATCACTTTTAAAAAAAGATTTATTTTAGGAGCCAGTGCTGTGGTGTAGTGGGTAAAGCCACCGCCTGTGGTGCTGACATCCCATATGGGCGCCGGTTGGAGTCCTGGCTGTTCCACTTCCAATCCAGCTTTCTGCTATGGCCTGGGAAATCATTGGAGGATGGCCCACATGGGAGATCTGGAAGAAGCTCCTGGCTCCTGGCTCCGGATTGGATTGGCACAGCTCTGGTGGTTGTGGCCATCTGGGGAGTGAGCCAGCAGATGGAATACCTCTCTCTCTTTCTCTCTCTGCTTCTGCTTTTCTGTAACTCTGCCTTTCAAATCAATAAATGAATCTTTAAAAATTTTATTTATTTATTTATTTGAAAGGCAGAAATAGAGAGAAGGGCAGGGAGGGAAGGAGGGAGGAAGGGGGAAAGAGAGAGAGAGAGAAAGAGAGAGAGATCTTCCATCTGCTTGTTCACTCCCCAGGTGGCTGCAATGTCCAGGGTTGGGCCAGATTGAAGCCAGGGACCAAGAGCTTCTTTCATGTCTCCCATGAGGGTGTAGGGGCTGAAGTACTTGGGCCATGTTCAACTACTTTCCCAGGTCATTAGTGGGTAGCTGGATTGGAAGTGGAGCAGCCAGAACTTGAATCGGCACCAATATGGGATGCCGGTACTGCAAGTGGAGCTTAACCTTCTATACCACTGCATTAGCCCGAAGATAATCACTTTCAGCACTTGTCATGCAAAAGGTCTTTAGAAAATTCATGGAAAATGAATATTATGAAAGAAAACTATGCATGGGTTTCATTTTTATAGTGTCAAACTTAATTCCATATTTTCATAAACTTTTTAAAATATGTTATTTCATTTGCGGGTGCAGGGGCCCAAGAGCCTGGGCCATCTTCTACTGCCTTCCCAGGCCATAGCAGAGAGCTGGATCTGAAGAGGAGCAGCCAGGTCTCAAACTGGCGCCCATATGGGATGCCAGAGCTTCAGGCCAGGGCGTTAACCCGCTGCACCACAGCACCTGCCCCTGCTGTAACTTTTTAATTCTGTTGTAATCACTGAATATTGTGATATTGAATATGACGCTAAATAGAATATGCAGTGGAGTGGAATGTGAGATCCATTAATATACTTTTAAATTAAAATGAGAGCTTTGCTATTTTTCTTTCTTTAAAGCTTTCCACGACTATTTATTGTAAAAAATTATAAGCACAAGTGTTCAGAGAATAGAGCTATAAAAATAACAAACCTGTGGGTTTGATTAAAGAGCTATTACGGTTTGACCATATTTGCTTTATCTGTCTATTTGTATAGATGCACATACAATTTTTTTGTTAAACTGTATGAAAGTAGTTGTAGGAAAAATCATAATATTCTAAATACTTTATTATGCATCTCCTAGAAATAAGGACATCCTCTTACATAATAACAATACCATTATCTCATCTAAGAAAATTAACAAGTCATGGGGCCTCTGCTGTGGTGCAGGGGTTAAGCGTCCTATATTGGAATACTGGTACAAGTCTGGGCTGCTCCACTTCTGATCCAGCTCCTTGTTAATGCATCTGGAAAAGCAGCAGAAGATGGCCAAACACGTAGGCCCATGACTGCACGTTGGAGCTCTGGGCCCCTGGCTTTGGCCTGGCCCAGATCTGACTGTTGTGGCCATTTGGGAAGTGAACCACTGGATGAAACATCTTTTCTCTCTCTGTCACTACATCTTTCTCTGTCACTCTGGCTTTTAAATAAATAAAATAAAGCTTTAAAAAATAGAAAAAAATTACCAAGTCGATAATATATAATATCCAGTCCATATTCAAATTTCCTCTATTGATGAGGCCATGGTAGTTTTATTATAGAATATTTGTGATGTTTAACTTATTCCTTTCCCCCCGTATTTGCTATAAACTAAAAGTTGGATCCTTTTGCTTGATCATATTCATGTTAAATGTTTTTGACCCAAGTGCCTAGGTGATGCTGTGTGTTTCATATTTCTTTTTAAAATTTATTTATTTGAAAGGCTAAGTGACAGAGAGAGGTTGGGAGACATAGATAAATAGATTTTCCATCTACTGTTTCACTCCCCAAATGGCTGCAAAAGCCTGGGCTGGGTCAGGCCAAAGCCAGGATCCTGGAACCCATTCCAGGTTTCCAACGTTAGTTCGGGGCCCAAGCACTTGGCCCAACCTCTACTGCTTTCCCAAGCAGATTAGCAGGGTGCTAGATCAGGAGCCGACTAGCTGGGACTCAAATTGTCACTCTGATATGGGATACTGGCATCTCAAGCAGTGGCTTAACCTGTTCTTGAGAACCTGCTGCACCATAATACTGACCTCTATTTCATATTTCATAACAGCAAGAGGTATATAATGTTATTTGTCTCATAATTAGTGGGCCAATTTTTATTCATAAGACCATGTCCACCAGATCTTGATGTTGTAAAAGGTAAGTTTTTTTCCCCCTTTGCAGTTAGCAAATAATCTGTGGGGTGATATTCTTAGCAATATATACGTATCCTAATACCTAATAACCTTTCATCTAGTGATATTAGCATTCATTAATGATGTTTGAAGTTTGCTTTTTGATAACAGTTGGGCATGCTTTCTTGATTAATGTAATTTAAAGCCAGAAATGGAACTAACTAGAACTTTCTCACAAACTAATGCCAAGAGACAGACACAAACAGAGCAATAAATAAAATTGGAGGTTTTGTTAGGGGACCACAGCGACTTTATTTTTTTATAAAGATTTATTTATTTATTTGCAAGTCAGTGTTACATAGAGATGAAGAGACAGAGAGTGAGCGAGAGAGAGAGAGAGAATATCTTCCATCTGCTGGTTCACTCCCCAAATGGTCACAATGACTGACTGTGTCAGTCCAAAGCCAGGATCCAGGACCTTCTTCTGGGTCTCCCATGTGGGTGTAGGAGTCCAGGCACTTGGGCCATCTTCCACTGCTTTCCCAGGTGCATTAGCAGGGAGCTGAACTGGAAGTGGAGCAGCTGAATCTTGAACCTGTACCCATATGGGATGCCGTTATCCCAAGAGGCAGCTTTACCTGCTACTCCATAATGCTGGCTCCATTTTCTTTTTTTTTTTTTATTTTTAACTGCATAATATTATATGTAATATAATATTTACCATCTTTTTTTTAAAGTGTACCTTTTTTAAAGATTTATTTATTTATTTGGAATTCAGAGTTACACACAGAGAGAAGGGGAGGCAGAGAGAGAGAGAGAGAGAGAGAGAGAGAGAGAAAGAGAGACTGAGAGGAAGGTCTTCCATCTGCTGGATCACTAACCAAATGGCTGCAACAGTTGGAGCTGGGCCTGTCCAAAGCCAGGAGCCAGGAGTTTCTTCCAGGTCTCCTACATGGGTGCAGGGGCCCAAGCACTTGGACTGTTTTCCACTGCTTTCCCAGGCCATAGCAGAGAGATGGATCAGAAGAGGAGCAGGCGGGACTCCAACTGACAGCCATATTGGGATGCCAGTGCTGCAGTCAGAGGCTTAGCCTACTACACTACAGCGCCGACCCCCTGGCTTTTTACATGTAGACATTTAATCCAGTCTCTCAGAAGCATTGTGTGGGCCACACGGAACATGCTGTGACCTGAATTCAGCTCATGGGCTCCAGTTTGGGGCCTTTCTGCTCACCAAACTAGTCTTGTGTGAAGGTCATCTCCTTTAACAGAATGAAGCAGGGGGAAGGCACTGTTTGGCTAGCCCATCAGATCAGCAGAAGCAAGGATCTTGGCACAGCTCCATCACTTCTACTTGATAGACTGAGTTTTGGAATTTAGAGATGATTTAACACTTAATAAGTGTTACCCCAGAAAGAATTGTCCCTGTGGTATGTTATTTTCTATTAAAAAATGTATTTCTTCATCCCCCAGCTTTATTTGTGATTGACAAAAATTATATATATTTAAGCAGGATATATTGTTACTTTCAATTATAAATTACATTAAACACAATTACCAAAGTGAAAATTCATTGTGAAATGTGAAAAAATACAGAAGGGTATACAAATGAAAATTAACTTGTCTATTATCCTAATCTCATAAAATATTTTATTGTATTTCCTTCTAATCCTTTCTAAAAGTCTGCTATGCATGTATGTATATGTATACCTTTTCCCCCAACGTTAGAGTCATACTACATGTATAATCACTTGCCTTCTTGAATATACCATAAACATTTTCTTGTATCGTTAATTTTCTTCAGAAATGGAATTTTTAATGCTAGGAACTTTGCCCCGGCCTTCCCGTACCTGCTCCATATCTCTGTTGTCACGCTAGTGGCTGTCCTGCACATCCTAACATGCTGTGCATGTATAAACTTGGAAGTTCTCTTCCCCCTGCTGATTTTTGCTTTATGATTTAATTCATTTGTTTAATTACAGCTTTGCTGGGATAATTCACATAGCACGAAATTCACCATCTTTAAAGTGTACAGTTTATTTCTAGTGTATTCACAGATTGCTGCAATCATCAGCACTAAGTTTAGAACATATTCATCATCAGAATGAAAACCCCCTCTGCTTTAGTGTTTACTTCCCATTTTCCCCAACCCTTCCAGCCCTAGGAAACTATGACTCTCTGTCTCTATCTATTTGCCTAGTCTAGATATTTCATCCACATGGAATCATAAAATATGTAGTCTCTTGTGACTAGCTTCTTCCATTTAGCAGGCTATTTTCAGGGCTCATCTATGCTGCAGCATGAATCAATACTTTATTTCTTTTTGTGGCTGAGTAATAATTGCATTGTATAGATATACCACCTTTTGTTTATCCTTGCATCAGCTAATGTGCATTTGGGTTATTTTGAACTTTTGGACTGTTGTGAATGATGATGTGAACATCATGTTTGCATTAACAAATATTTTCAGTGCTCTTGGGTATATACCTAGGGGTGAAATTGTTTGGTCATGGGATAACTCTAGTTTAGCTTTTTAAGAAGGATTTATTTATTTGAAAGGCAGAGTGGCACATAGAGAGATATCTTTCATCTGTGGGTTCACTCCCCAAGTGGTCGCAACAGCTGGGGCTGATCCAGGCTGAAGCCAGGAACTCAGAACTCCATCCAGGTTTCCCACATAGATTGCAGGGGCCCGAGCACTGGGGCTAGCTTCCACTGATTAGGTACATTATAGCAGGGAGCTGGATCAGAAGTGGCACAGCCAGGACTCAAGCTGGGATTCTGATATGGGATTTGATATTGCAAGCAACAGCTTAAGCCATGGTACCACCACACCGGCTCCTATTCTAACCTTTTGAGGAGATGCTAAATCGCTTTCCACAGTGACTGTCCCATTTTACATTTCTTTTTTTTTAAGATTTAATTTATTTATTTGAGAGGTAGAGTTACAGACAGTAAGAGGAAGAGACAGGGAAAGGTCTTCCTTCTGTTTGTTCACTCCCCAAATGGCTGCAATGGTCAGAGCTGCACCGATCTGAAGCCAGGAGCCAGGAGCTTCTTCTGGGTCTCCCTTGTGAGTGCAGGGGCTCAAGCACTTGGGTCATCTTCTACTGCTTTCCCAGGCCACAGCAGAGAGCTGGATTGGAAGAGGAGCAGCCGGGACTATAACTGGCTCCCATATGGGATGCCGGCACCACAGGCGGAGGATTAATCTACTGTGCCATGGCGCCAGCCCATTTTACATTTCTACCAGCAGGGAATGAATATTCTAATTTCTCTAGACCCTCACCAATACTTGCTGTTAGTTAAAAAAAATTATTATAGCCATCCTAGTAGGGTGAAGTAGTATGTCATTGTGATTTGGATGTGTGTCCCCCTAATGATCCTAAGCATCTTTTCATGTGCTTATTGGCTATTTGTGTATGTTCTTTGGGGAAAGTGTCTTCAGATCTTTTGTTCATCTTTTTATTATTGTGAGAGTTTCTTCTATATTCTAGGTACAGCTCCTCTCTCAGATATGATTTGCAAATATTTTTTCCCATTGTGGGGATTTCTGTTTCTTGATGATGCCTTCTGAATAAAAGAAGTTTTCAATTGTGATTAAGTCCAATTTATCTATTTCTATTTCTTTCTTTTTTCGGTACTTTGAGTGTCAAATCACTATTTCTGATACAGCAATGAATTGGGAATTTATAAATAAGTGGTCCAGTTTAGTCAGTGATTTTAAAGAGTGACCTCTGTACTTCAGACTTGGATTTTCCTGACACTTTTTAACTCCTGACCTATGTTGTTTGCTTTAAGACTTATGTCACCCCTTTTGTATTTCCCTGTGTCTGATGTTACTTATAGGGTGTGGTGCCAACTGCTCAGCGTGCGGCCATCGTTGTGGGAGTAGAGCTGCCAGTCTATGATATTACCAAGAAACACTTGATATTGTCAGGAATGATGGGAGATACAATTTTAACTCATTTTATGTAAGTAGGATAGTGTGTGTTCATTCTATATTTCCAAGATTTTGAGTGCAAAAAGCCTCGTTCGCTGAAGTCCTCAGGTGGAATTGATAACTGGTATGTATAACCTAAATACCTTTGTCTCTCCTATTACCAGGATTTCAAGCCTTCTGCACTCTTTATATGTCGTAGAGATCTCAGATCTATGGGCACTTGGGTATTTGGGAGCAATGTCTAATACAGGATTTGCATTCGTTCATACTTAGCCTTTGTATTTAATAAGCACGTCTGTTATTTGCTTTGATTAATTTTGTATCAGAAAGCAAACTTTTTTCAATGAGAATCAGAAAAACGGGGTGAAATTTGATGGAGTCTCTGAAATTAAACCACAGTTTTTGGCTAGAGACTGTTGGTAATCCCATCTTGTACTTCTTTATCTTGTAACCTTTATGGTATTTTGCTACTTGCTCACATTTAGCATGTGATGCTGTGGTTTGAAAAAAATATGTAACTAATAGATGTGCATAACACCTCCTGCTTAAGGATCTTGTTAAGCTTATAAACTGTCTCCTAAAAAAAGAAGCCAGGTTTCAGATTGAAAACTGAAGGAATAACTTTTAAATGATATCTCTTTAGAAAGATTTCCTTTCTCTTTGAAGTGCAATGAAAGGGCAAGTACTGGGTTTTATCTAATGGATGTGAATTATTGTATGTTTATGTTGAGCCTAATTTGTGTGTAAGAGGGCTGGAGGTGTAAGTGGGGACAATGTATTTTAAAAGTTTTCATCTTTAGTTCCAGCTTCACTTGTGGCTTGGCTGGGGCTCTGGCCTCCAATCCAGTTGATGTGGTACGAACTCGCATGATGAACCAGAGGGCGATTGTGGGACACGTGGACCTCTATAAGGGTACTTTGGACGGTATTTTGAAGGTATGCACACTGTGGATTTCAGTTCCCTGTTTAGTTTTCTTTCATGTCTCAAGCCTTTCAATCCTTAGTTGCTGCATCTCATTCTGAAGGTGAAAGAATCATTATGTGTATTTTTAGTAGCCTCTCAGTCAATCTCAGATAGAGAAGCTATCTCCTTGGAAATTACTGATACACAGCGATCCTTAATGTTCTCATTCCAGTTTGAGTGCCTGAGAATATAGGGTACTTTTATTAATAGCACCATGTAGAATTATCAGTAGAAAAGACTTAACATAGTCCATATTTGTCCACTTCAGACAAGTCAGAGACCCTGTAATAGAAAATCTGGTACTTTAAACAACAACAACAACAACAAAAGCCTGGTGCTTGATTTTAGTTCAGGGTTTTGCTGTTGTTCACAACTGACTTTGAAACTTTCAATTGTTAGGCTTATAGAAAGGTGAATTCTATAAATGTATTATGTAAGTACTGATGATATTATCACTACTGCAGGGACAAATTTGGGGTTAAAATATGATGCTGCAATATGGTTTCTCTGATATTTTCCACTTCATTTAGTAGCTATTTATTATATATCAGGTACCATTTGAGTAGTAACAGAAATTATAGCTATTACAAAAGTACTGTAGGTGTGCAAACTGATAATCAACATAATGCAGTAAGTGATGAACTCAGAATTCTACTGGGAGGAAATTTTAGCCTAGCTTGGAAGTTTGAGATAGGCTTACTGTAGACTGTGGCATTTTGAACAATAATAACTCACATCTGTTGAATGCTTTACTGTGTGTCAGGAACTGTCCTAATGAGCCTTACATGTATGTATTCATTCATTTAATCTCCACCATTATCCTGTAATGAAGTAGATATTGAAGCACTGAGAGAGTTAGCAATCTGCCCAAGGTTTTGCAGCTAGTAAGTAGGAGAGGTGAGATTTAAACTCAGACCATTTGGTTTCAAACCAACTTTCTTAACTAACTTCTACATTATGATGACTTCCTCAAATATAGCCAAACATATCCACTTGATGTTCCTTATGCACATCAAATTATGATGTGTCCCCCATAGTGCTTATCCTTCTGTGATATCTCTGTCAATGAATGTCACTCTCTGGTCACCAAATCCAAAACCCAGTTTAGTTGGGTTCTGAAGGATACAGAATGTTAAACAGAAGTCATTGGACCTTTTTTAACTTGATGGGGAGCTATGGAAAGCTTTTAATAAGTTCATATTTGCATTTTAAATAGACTAACTTTGTGGTGACTGATCTAAAACAGTGGTTCTCAATCTTGGATGCACACTGGAATCATTTGGGGAATTTTCACAGCTTGGCCAATTAGCTCAAAATCTGGGCAGTGGGGCCGGGCACTGTGGCGTAGTAGGTTAAGCCTCTGCCTTACACCTTATCCCATATGGGCACTGGTTCAAGTCCCAGCTGCTCCACTTTCAATCCAGCTCTCTGCTATGGCCTGGGAAAGCAGTGGAAGATGGCCCAATGTTTGGGCCCCTGCACCCGCATGAGAGACCCAGAAGAAGTTCCTGGCTGCTGGCTTTGGATTGGCCCAGCTCTGGCTGTTGTGGCCATTTAGGGAGTGAACCAGAGGATAGTAGACCTCTCTCTCTGTCTCTCTGTAATTCTGCGTCTCAAATAAATAAATCTTTTAAAAAACCTGGGGAGTAGGACCCAGGCATCAATATTTTAAAAACTTTGAGGCTGGGGCCGGCATTGTGGCGTAACAGGTTAAACCACTACCTGCAATGCTGGCATCCCATATATGTGCCAATCCCAGAGCAGTGGTTCTTAAAAGTGTCACATGCATCACAGTTACCCGGAGGGCTTGCTGAAGTGTGGTTAGCTCGGTCCCACGCTTCAGTAGGTCTACAGTAGGACCTGAGAATTTGCATTTTTTTAAAAAAGATTTATTTACTTATTTGAAAGGCAGAGTTACAGAAAGTGGGGGAGAAGGCGGGGGAAGAGAGAGAGAGAGACCTTCTATCTACTGGTTCACTCCCCCAGATGGCCACAGTGAAGCCAGGAACCTGGAATGCCATCTAGTTTCCCATATGGGTGGCAGGGACCCAAGTACTTGGGCCGTCTGCTGCTGCTTTCTCAGTCATATCAGCAGGGAGCTGGATCAGAAGTGGAGTAGCTGGGTCTCAAGCCCATGCTCATACAGGATACATGCGTCATAGGTGGCAGCTTTACCTGTTGTTCTGCACCACCGGCCCTGAGAATTTGCATTTCTAACAGGTTCCCAGGCAATAGTGATGCCGCTAGTCTGAGGACCACGCTTTGAGAACCAGTGACCTACAGATAGGGAAGCCGATGAGGGGGAGAAAAAGGTCTCTTTCTAGTAATCTGAACAAGAGGAGATAAGGCCTGGACTTGAGCTTGATAGTGGGAATGCTGAAGGTGGGACAAAGTTGAAATGAATTTAGTTGATAAAGTCAGCAAGATTTCTTTGATTGGATATGGAGAGGTATGGGAAAAATGTATCAAAGATAGCTTCTGGGATTTTGGATTTGGTGACCAGGTGGTAACATTTTTGACAGAAGGATCACAGGAAGAGGAGCAGGTTCTGTGGGAGACACATCGTCATTTGAACACATAATTTGATGTGCCTGTGGAACATTTGGTGGATGTATTTGGCTGTCCTAGCCCTAATTCAGGGGAGAGTGCATGGCTATAGGTAAGAGTCTGTGGATCATTAGTGAAGAAGTGGTACCTAACTGTGGAGGGGCTGACCAAAGAAAGCAGGTAGAGGAGTTTGTGACCTTTTTGCCTTCCCAGCACACTGGAGTCACGCATACCTCTCTCCAGCAATGGCGAGTCACTGAAGCAGTGATTCTTGGACCCTGGGGAGTATAGTTTGGCAAAAGCCCCCGTTGGTATTTCTGACATGCTCAGTCCTCCATTTGACAGTCACTGGTGTAGAAGGAAGAACGGTGGGCCAAGGAAAGAACACTGAGGGGATACCATTTTTTAAGGGCTTGGAAGGTAAGGAAGCCAAGAAAGATCCCAAAAGGTAGCAGTTCTAAGAAATATGGAAACATAGGAGAGAGTGGTGTCGTGGAAACCTCAGGAATAATGAATTCCGGGAAAGAATGAATAGTTATTTAATGTCACATACAGTAGCAATATCCAGTATGATAAGGACTGCAAAGTGTCTGTTGGATCTGAAGGAGGTTTGGTACATTGCTTTGTTTGTTTGTTTGTTTGTTTGTTTGTTTTGACAGGCAGAGTGGACAGTGAGAGAGATAGAAAGAGAGAAAGGTCTTCCTTTTGCCGTTGGTTCACCCTCCAGTGGCCGCCATGGCTGGCGCGCTGCGGCCGGTGCATCGCTCTGATCCGAAGCCAGGAGCCAGGTGCTTCTCCTAGTCTCCCATGGGGTGCAGGGCCCAAGGACTTGGGCCATCCTCCACTGCACTCCCGGGCCATAGCAGAGAGCTGGCCTGGAAGGGGGGCAACCGGGACAGAATCCAGTGCCCCGACCGGGACTAGAACCTGGTGTGCCGGCGCCGCTAGGTGGAGGATTAGCCTATTGAGCCCCGGCGCCGGCCAGTACATTGCTTTTTGTAAAAGTCAGATTGCTGTACATTGATGGATATGTTTAATCATTCATTAATTCAATAAAAAGTTCATATTTTACATTGTAGGCACTATTCTAAGTTGGTGGGGATATGTTGGTCAACAAAAACATCCCTGCCTTCATGGCACTTAGAATCCAACAGAAGGAGATAAACACTTAGGAAGTGAAATCTTCAAGTATAAAGCACTCTTTCATGAGTGGCTAGGAGGAACTAGAAGGTACAATAATATAGGAATGGCATTTATTATGTGCCAGACACTATACATAGACTATATCCTTTGACTCTCACAACAACCTTGAAGAGGCAGGTATTATCTTTCCCATTTAACAAAGGAGGAAACCCAGGTGCAGAGTAACTAAGTAACTCACTCAAGATCACATAACTAATAAGTGCCAGTTCTGGGATTTATGTCAGGGGCTGACTGGTTCCAAAGTTTGTGCTTATAGCCCCTATGCTGTATTGTATCTATGGAAACATTCTTATGTTGATTATAACTTTTGAAAAAAGATTCAGGGGCCGGTGCTGTGGCGTAGTGAGTCAAGCCACCGCCTGCAGTGCCAGTATCCCATATGGGCGCCGGTTCGAGTCCTGGCTTTTCCACTTCAGATGCAGCTCTCTGTTATGGCCTGGAGAAAAGCAATAGAAGATGGCCCAAGTCCTTGGACCCCTGCACTCATGTGGGAGACCTGGAAGAAGCTCCTAGCTCCTGGCTTTGGATCAGCGCAGCTCTGGCCATTGTGGCCAATTGGGGAGTGAACCAGCAGATGGAAGACCTCTCTCTCTCTCTCTCTCTTCTCTCCCCCCCCCCCCGCCTCTCCGTTGCTCTGTGTAACTCTGCCCTTCAAATAAAAATAAATAAATCTTTTAAAAAAGATTCATTTATTAATTTTAAAGGCAGAGTTCAACACACACACAGAGAGGGAGAGACAGGCACACACACACAGATCTTCTATCCAACAGTTTACTCCTCAAATCGGTTTGCTCCTCAAATGGCTGCAATGGCCAGGGCTGGGCCAGGCTGAAGCCAGGAGCCTGGAACTCCACCTGGGTCTCCCACAGGGGTGGCAAGGCCTCAAGTACTTAGCCCATGCTCTGCTGCTTTCCCAAGCACATTAGCAGGGAGCTAGATAAGAAGCAGAAAAGCTGGACTTGAATTGGAGCTCTAATATGGGATGCCTGTGCAGTGTAGCAGCAGTTTAACTGTCTGTGCCATGACACTGGCCCCTGGTCATAACTCTTAAGTATTTGTATTTGCTCACTCATTCACTTATTAGCTGTTTTCTCTTTACACTGACTTTATTCTATCTGTGTTGTCAATATATATTTAGTATCATGCTTTATTATTTTGTATTTCATCTTTTAGAGTCCCAAAACACTGTGGTGAATGGAGGAGTCACACTTTCCTCTCCAACATAGACAAGAACAGCTGCAGGTCTCATCCTGTCATTCCCATCTCAAATATTTTAGTGGCTCCTCATTGAGCCAAGGCTCTGTATGATCCTTTTGGATCCTGTAGCCTTATTTTTACTACTGTTATGCTATATTCCAGGTGCACTAAACAGTGCTAGACTTTGTTTTTTCCCCAAGTTTTCACCTGTGCCATATTATTTTTTTTAAAAAAAGATTTATTTATTTGAGAGGCAGAGAGAGAGAGAGAGAGAGAGAGAGATATTTCTTCTATTGGCTGGTTCACTCCCCAGATGGCCACAACAGCCAGAGCTATGCCGATCCAAAGCCAGGAGCCAGGACCTTTCTCCAGGTCTCCCACGTGGGTGCAGGGGCCCAAAGACTTGGGCCATCTTCCACTGCTTTCCCAGGCCATAGCAGAGAGCTGGATTGGAAGTGGAGCAGCCAGGACTTGAACTGGCGCTCATATGGGATACTGGCATTGCAGGCGGTGGCTTGACCCACTACGCCACAGCACCAGCCCCACCTGTGTCATATTCTTTGCTATGTCCCCCTCCCCCATCACACACCACCCTGAAAACAGCTTTCATTTGGCTAGCTCCTACTCATTCTTCCGATCTCATTACTTTTCCACAAAGGCCTTCTCTGACCATTGAAAACTAGATTATGTGTGCATGGTTTCTCGTACTTTCTCTATGATAACATTTATTGTATTCTTAACAAATCTTTATTGAGAGCTTATTCACATACCATAAAATTCACCATTCTAAAATGGCTTTCGGTGAATTTAGTGTTTTGGTGTTTAACAATGAAGTATGTGTAGCCAACACCACATTCAATTTTTGAATATTTTTATGACCTCGAAAGAATCCCTGTACCCTTTGCTATTACCACTATCCCTCATTTCTTTATCCCTAAGCAGTCATTAATCTTTATATTTCAGTAGATTTGCCTATTATGGATATTTCATATAAGGGAAATCATCCATTATGTGACCTTTTCAACTACATTTTACAATTTAGCATAGTGTTTTCAAAATTCATCCATCTTTTAACATGTACCAGTACTTTGTTCATTTTTGTTGCTGAATAATATTCCATTCTGTGGCTGTACCACATTTTATTCACATTTGGTACATTTTTATCATAATTGCTTTTAATGTCTGTCTGCCCCCAATACAGTCTAAGTTCCATGAAGGCATATTTGTGTGCATCTTACCACTTTATGAAGCAAAGTATTTATTGAATCAAAGAATCTGTAGAACTTCATTAAGAAACCTGTTATCTATATGGTCATCTATAGGTGTTTTCAGACAATGGATTCAAACCAAAAAGTGCCTCCCCAGTTCTAATATTCTGGAGAAGTTGGTAACTATTTTAGAAATTTAGAATTTTAGAAATTGGGGCTGGCTTTGTGGCACAGTGAATGCTGGCATCCCATATGACTACTGGTTTGAGTCCTAGCTGCTCCACTTCCAATTCAGCTCCCTGCTAATGCACATGGGAAAGCAACAAAAGATGGCCCAAGTACTTGGGTCCCTGCCATCCATGTGGAATACCCAGATGGAGTCCCTGGTTCCTGGATTTAGTCTGACCCAGTCCTATCTGTTGTGGGCAGTTGGGGAATAGACCAGCAGATGGAAGATCTCTCTCTTTCTCTCCCTCTCTCTCTCTAACTCTGCATTTCTTTTTATTTTTTTAAAGATTTATTTTTATTTATTTGAAAAGGCAGAGTTAGAGAGAGGGAGACACAGAGAGATCTGCCATCCACTGGTTCATTCCCCAAATGGCCACAATGGTTGGGGCTGGGCCAGGCCAAAGCCAGGAGCTTCTTCCAAGTCTCCCACATGGGTACAGGAGCCCAAGCACTTGGCTGTCCTCTGCTGCTTTGCCAGGCACATTAGCAGGGAGCTGAATTGGAAGTGGAGTAGCTGGGACTTGAACTGGCATCTATATGGGATGCTGGCATCCCAGGCAGTAGCTTTACCCGTAATGCCACATCACTGGCCCTGTAACTCTGTCTTTCAAATAAATAAATACATCATTTGAAAAACCTGGTAATTATAAGGATTCTGATGGGTCGTTAATGGTTTGTTTTGTTTATGCAATTTTATTTATTGGAAAATATTAAATTATTATTATTTGTACTAGACACTTTAGTTGGTGGGGATATAATGGTGAACAAGACAAACAGTCCCTGCTCTTCTGTTTTAAAGATTTATTTATTTATTTATTTGAAAGGCAGAATTAGACACAGAGAGACTGATCTTCCATCTGCTGGTTCACTCCCCCAAGTGGCCAGGGCTGGGCAAGGCCAAATCCAAGAGCCCAGAACTCCATCTGAATCTCCTACCTGGTTGGCAGGGGCCTAAGTACTTGGACCATCTTCCACGGCTTTCCCAGGCACATTAGTAGGGAACTGGATTGGAAGTGGAGCAGCTAGTACTCCAACTGCCTCTCATGGGATGCCAGCACCACAGGTGGCTTAACCCACTGAACCATGAGGCCGGCCCACACCCTTGCTGCCTTGGAGATAACATTCTAGCTGAGGGAGATGGACAATAAACCCACACATAATAATCAGTATAATTTTAGGTAGAACCCATGCCATGAATAAAATAATAGCATATTGAAAATAGTGACTTGGTGGTGCATAACTGCTTCAGCTAGGGGAGTAAGGGAAAGCCTATGAGGAACTTGGAGCTGAGATCCGAGTGATGAGAAGCAGGTGGCCACAAGAAGAACTGAGAGAAAAGCATTTCACAGAAAGGGAGCAGGTTACAAAAGGCCTGAGTGGGGAGTAAAGGGAATGTGTGAGGTGTGTGCAAAGGTTAGAAAGAAGGCTAGTGTGGCTGAACGTGGTGAAGGAGAAAGCAGGAAATCAAACTGGAGAGAGGCAGGAGCTAAATCAGATGGGATCCTGTAGATCATCTCCGAGAATTTGCAATTATAATGAAATCCATCAGGAAGCCATTTGAGATTGTTAAGCAGGAGAGTGACACAACCATGTTTGGAATTTTAAAAAGTTGTTCTTTAGCCGGTGCCTCGGCTCACTAGGCTAATCCTCCACCTAGCGGTGCCAGCACACCAGGTTCTAGTCCTGGTCGGGGCGCCGGATTCTGTCCCAGTTGCCCCTCTTCCAGGCCAGCTCTCTGCTGTGGCCAGGGAAGGCAGTGGAGGATGGCCCAAGTGCTTGGGCCCTGCACCCCATGGGAGACCAGGAGAAGCACCTGGCTCCTGCCATCGGATCAGCACGGTGCGCCGGCCGCAGCGCGCTAACCGTGGCGGTCATTGGAGGGTGAACCAACGGCAAAGGAAGACCTTTCTCTCTGTCTCTCTCTCTCAATATCCACTCTGCCTGTCAAAAAAAAAAAAAGTTGTTCTGGCTTGTAGGTGTGGATTTTAGATCGGTTAGTCTATTGTGGCAGTGCAGGTAAGAGATGATGGGAGCAGATTGTGTCTCTGAGGTACCCTATTATTTAACTGCCTATGATTCTAGGTCATCTGTACCTGGACTTTGGGTGATTTTCACAGTTTTCCAGCATCAGTTTTGGTCTGAGTTCTTTAGCACTTGCTGAAGATCCATTGTCGGGAGATAAGCATATTACCTCAGTGCTTCCATAAGTAATGCCCTTATTATCTCTGCTGTTGTTAGACTACAAGATGGGAAGAGGGATGTTTACAAACCTGGCTTCTCATATTATTGTCTTGTCCAAACATATCCATTCAGTAAGAATATAGTAGATTTCACTTCACTAGAGGAAATGGAAAAAGGTGTCTAACACAATGCCTCACACATTGTAGTTACTTAATAGATATTTGTGTGTTAATAAGAACAGTTTCTGCTGGCTGAATTGCACATGCCACCAGCTTATGACCTTTGCTATGCATAATTTGTCATTTAATTATCATAACCACTCAATTGATGTGTATAAAACAGGGAAGCACAACTCAGAGCGGTTTGCATTGTTCCTCATGTAATCGTCAAAGCATTCACATGAAGTAGGCCATAGTGTGCTACACAATTTACAATAATGAAAGAGACCGAGGGAAGGCTAGTGACTTGACCAACTCCCTATTCCCTTACCCTGCTTTGGTTTTGAGTGCTTATCGTTTCTGCATGCAACACATATCAATTTGTGTGTTTATTTGTCAACTACTCTAGAATATGCCCTCCATGAGGGCAGAGGCTAGATTTAGCTATTGCTGTGTTACAAAGTACCCCCAAAATTCAGTGCCTTGAAACAACACACATTATTTTGCAGCTTCTCTGGGTTGGGAATTTGAGAAGCAGCTCAGCTGGGTGAATCAGGCTTAGCATCTGTCATGAGGTTGTAGTTCACATGTCAGCTAGGGATGCAGTCCTCTAAGGGCTTGACTGGGGCTAGGGTATTTGCTTCACAGATCACTCCCATGACTTTTCCAGAGGCCTCAGATCCTTACCACATATACCTGTCTTTATGACATACAAGAAAGAATAAGGCAGATGCCTTATTATATGTAAAGTACCTTTTATAACCTAGCAGTGAATGGAGATGATACATGTTAACTATTACCAAACTCTATTGATGATACAGACGAATCCTGAAACATCTCCTGAAACATCGTGGAATAGGGGCTACAGAAAGGCATGAGTAACAGGTCAGAGGGTTCATGGAGGGCTATCTTGGAGGCTTGCTTTCACAGCCGCTTCCTCTGTTTTGTTTACTGTTAAATTCCCAGAAGAGTGCCTTGCATATGGTAGGTGCTTAGTAAATATTTGTTGAGTAAGTGGGTAGGTGAATTTAAATTACATATGATTTTTTTTTTTAAAAAGAGCCATTCATGGAGCCATAAGTTGCTGGGGTGAGAGGTGAAGGATTGTCAAATATAAAGAGAAAGGGGAATTCACTCTGTTTTTGGTTATATCTTTCCCTCAGATGTGGAAACATGAAGGGTTTTTTGCACTCTATAAAGGATTTTGGCCAAACTGGCTTCGACTTGGACCCTGGAACATCATTGTATCCTTTTAGTAACATGAGATTGAAAGGAAATCCTTAAAGCTCCCAGGTAATTCTAAGCTATGGGAAGGAAATTTTGATTATTATGGTGTTTTAGTCAAGTGAGAAATCCGGGCATTGCAGTGGTGAGCATTGAGGATGGAACTAAGTAGAGGAACAGCTTTCAGTTGAAGGCTAATACAAACTAGAGAGGAATAGGAAAGCATGGGCCAAACTTTCCTTTTTAAAACGAAAACAAGAAGCACACCCAATCTGGAAGGGGTGATAATGTTTTTAGAAATCCTGATGAGAGATGCCCACAGGAATGCCATGCTGAAGTGGTCGGGCTTTCCTGCCCCTAACTAAAGGACCAAAATAGCGGGGAAGTAATAACCGGACAGAAAATATTCATAGAGTGAAAGAATCCACAGTAAAATAGGGCTCTTTCCTCATGAGTGAATCTCCCTCCTTTAGCTGTGTTAGAGTGCCTCCTGTGCCTAGAGCCATGGATGGAATGCTAGGTGTAGTGTAAGTATTGTAGGGTCCAAAAGTAATTCTCTGGGGTCTGTAGGCTGAGGGAGATCATGTCTCTCTCCCTCTTTGGAATTGCTTTGATCAGCTAATATATGTAACAGTTACTCTAGCACTGAATTATATGTTGTCATTGATGTTCTTAGGGATTTTTGTGAGTGCCCTGTCTGCCCTTGAGGGCTGTATTCAAGTTTTAATCTGTTTATATTGCCAAATGCCTACAGTAATAATGGACACATGGTAGGCACTCAATGCATGCTTCTTGATTTGACAAGTGTGTTTAAAAGGACTATAATGTAAGTGTAAGTTAGAATAGCACAGGCTAAGTACCTTCGTTTAAGAGAAATGCAGTGTTCAATTGTAGAACTGGGTTTAGCTCTTGGAATCAGCCCGGTGATCTTCCATGACTTACTTTTCAGTTTTTTATTACATACGAGCAGCTCAAGAGGCTTCAAATCTGAGGACTGAGTCCCACGTGAGCCCAGCCCTTCCAGCCTTTCTACTGTTTTCTTTCTCTGTGTTCTAATGTATTTTGACAAAACTGTAAGAGTTTACTGAACCACTGATCTCCCAAGGACCTCCTGATAGAAGAACAATAGGATGGTCCAAAGTTGTGTATGTGTTTGTGTTACCATGTTAACTTCTCCCACAGAGGAATTGTTAACATTGAAATTCTGGCCCCAGATTGGTATCTTCTGTGAAGATGGATACTGATGGGTGACATTCAAAATTGCCTTCTTTCCAAATGTGGGTTAAATGGAGTTGGTGAGCCCCAAACTTGGGCTAGAGCAGAAGGCATAGGCCAGGGCAGTTATTGCCATGTATGTTGTGGACCTCAGTTCTCATTAAAGTATTTATTGGCATCATTTTGACTTTGTCTTCATTTACTATTTTCTCCTTTGCCAGTTCTTTAAGTTACATTCTACAGAAAATGAAAAAGAGAAGGGGACTGTGAAAGTAAGATTGGTCTCTTTAAAGCACATATTTATGAGAAGATTAAGAAAATTTTGCCTTCCCTCTGCCATACATTGTCATAATGTCACCCACTTCTAGACATCAGGCAAGCAGTTCTTTCCTAAGTATGAAGAAATAAACAAGTGACTCATTTGGAAGTTTCTACACATAAAATGCTTAAAAAAAAATCCTATGTTCAGAGTCCTAATCATATTATGGGCAAAATGTTCTGACTACTTTCTAACACTTAAGATAGTGCCTATACCTTATATGCCCTCAAATATTTGTGGAATGAATAGTTCATGTTTATCAGTTAATTCCTTTGTTGAGCAATCATTTATTATGTGTCTATTATATCTTCGAACCTGGGAATATAAAAACCAGCATGAGGTAGTCTCTGTTTCCGAGTTGACATCATAGCAGGAGAGCAGATCTGTAACTAATAACTGCAGTGTCGGTTCTAAGTACTCTGTGAGAGAGGAACAAAGTGCTGTGGGAGCACAGAGGATGAGTAGCCTTACCTAGAGTAGTTGTCAAATATAAAGTGGGGTGACATTTGAGCTGAATCAAAGAAGGGTAGATGCTCCTATATAATAAGGCATTATACAGGTTTACTGATGTAAAATGACATGTATCTATCATTATAGAATCATGCCAAATAGTTTCAATGCCCTAAATATCCTCTGTATTCCTCGTGTTCATTCCCCCATCCTCTCTAAACCCTGGCAACCACTGAGCCTTTCGGTTTCTCTGTGATTTTGACCTTTCCAGAGTGTCATATAATTGGAATCGCATAGTGGTTGTTCAGATTGGATTCGTCCACTTAAGGCTTTGGATTTAAGGTTCCTTCATGCCTTTATAGCTCATTTCTTTTTAGTGCTGAATAATAGTCCATTGTCTGACTATAACCACAATTTATTTACCCAGTCCCATACTGGAAAACATCTTGGTTGCTTCCAAGTTTTTGTAATTATGAATAAACATGCTATAAACATTTGTGGTCACGTTTTTGTGTTGACATAAGTTTTCAGCTCATTTAGATGTATACCAAGGAGTATGATCACTGAGTGGTATGATAAGAGTATGTTTAGTTCTGTGAGGAACTGCTCAACCGTCTTCAAAGTGGCTGTACCTCTTTGCGTTCTCAGCAGCAATGAATGAGAGTTCCTCTTGCTCTACATTCTCTCCCCCTTGTAGTGTGTCAGTGCTTTGGATTTTGGCCCTTATAATAGGTGTGAAGTGGTGTCTCATTGTTTATGTTTTTTTAAAGATTTATTTATTTGTTCAAAAGGCAGAATTAGAGAGAGAGAGAGAGAGAGAGAGAGAGGTCTTCCATCCACTGGTTCACTCCCCAAATGGCTGCAATGTGCCAATCCGAAGCCAGGAGCTTTTTTCTTCATCTCCCATGTGGGTGCAGGGGCCCAAGGACTTGGGCCATCTTCGACTGCTTTCCCAGACCATAGCAGAGAGCTGGATCTGAAGAGGAGCAGCCAGGACTAGAACTGGCGCCCGTATGGGATGCCGGCACTGCAGTTGCTGCCTTTACCCTCTATGCCACAGTGCCAGCCCTTCCCCCCTTTTTAATATCTGGAGAATGAGACAACTCAGATAATAGTAGCTGAGACTGACATGGCTTTTATTATGTGCTGGGTTCTAGTGTGTTGTGTGTGCAAGACCATCGACGTCCTTATAACCACTCCTGTGAAGTAAGTACTGTTCTTGTTTCTCAGATGAGAAATACTTTCCCCCTTAGAAAGTGACAGAGCCAGGTTCTAGCCTTTGCAGTCTGGCTTATGGCTCATGCTTAGAGTCAACTATGCCAAAGGTGCACTGATTTAACCTTGTTCCGAGTCTCTGACAGTTTATGGCAGGTATGCAGTAAAGCATATTGATTTCATTAATTCCCCTAGCTTTATAGCACCCTAGAGAAAGAAGGTCAGTAGCTTTGTGGTTGGCCACTCTTTAACACTTAACTGTAGTGCTGGGTTTAGCTTATTTTCCTGGAGACCTGTGGCTGTACATATATCATTTTCCCCTTTCTGCTGCTTCTCTCCCTTCCCTTTTTTGGTCTTTCTTTATCACTATCCCACCCCCTTTTCCTCCAGTCTAATTGAGCACAATTCAGCAGGGGGTGGCACAGCAGGGTTCAAGGGATCTTGCTGTCAGAAGATGGCACTACGAAACATGAACTTGTTCCTGTTGGATGTTAGATCATTTGTGAAGAACATGCAGTTATTTCTACAGATGCTGCTAGTTTGACATTTAGTAATTTGGACATGTGGCTAGACTTCTATGCAAAGAAATGTTTTGTTGTAAACAAATGCATGGGAAGAATGATTAAGCTATTAAGGACCAATTATGAATAATTCTTTTCTATTATTCACTAAGGCATATTATTTAAGGGATAATATTTTTTGTCAGCCTAGGTCTTTTAGGGTATTACCTGTTTTTCTTAACAAATTTCTTTGTTCTCTCAGGAACAGCTATTCCTCGACAATCTTAATTTCTAAAGTCTTGCTGTAAGGGGTATTTCTTCTCTATACTCAGTGTCTCAGCCTCAGAATGTGGTTGTATTATGGGCTATGCTTTACTATAAGTACTCTTCATACATCCTTGTGTCTCCTATTTATTTAATAAAAAGAAAAACAATTCACCACCATGCACTGTGTGAGATTTCTAAGGGACCTGGTCATCTTAAGGTGCTGGCTGGAATTTTGAATAAGAAATGTTTAGATTATGAGTCTGTTTTCCACATTTGAAACAACTCTCATAGACATTGAGCTATAATATCTTGGTTTAGTTTTCTCACCTATAAAAAAATCTCCTCTGAGATGTAACTGATACCCATTTGCTTTTCTATAGGAAGTGCTTTCATGTTTGTTGAGTGGTTCAGTGGATAAAGCCACACAAATACTATGGGTGGAAAAAGTACACTGAACAGTTTTCTGAACAGCATGGCCTTTTACTGGGCCTATGACTGTTCTCTCAGCATGTTTATCAGCTTTTTAGTGCCTTAATGTCAATACAACTGAGACAGAATTGGAACTGATAGGGATTTATTACAGTAACTGGGAAATATGATTCAATCATGGAATTGTTGGGCAACATGCACCAAATGGGAGCAAACCTAACTAGATGAGGAAATCCCCTCAGGCCCTTGGCCCTGTGTGATTATATTTGGCCCTCCTGTGCTTGGGAGCAAATAAATCCTGCCTGCCTCATGTGTAGAAGTGGTTTTGAAAGCCACAGGAACCACTTTGCGCATTAGAACAGACTCTTAGACCCTTAGCACTGCATTGGTGGTTTCTAGGACTCCTCACGAGAGGGCTCCTTGAGCCTGGTGGCTGATTATGGTCTCAACAGCTTATAAATCCAGTGACCATATGGCTGGGTAGCAGCATGTTAAGCTCTCATGCCCTTTACCCTGCCACGTGTGATCCATTAAGGGAAGCACATCTTTCCCTTTCAGCTTCACGGCTTCAGCTGCATCGCAAGAATGGTCTCCTAAGCTCTGTGAGAAACTGTTTTCTGATTCACTTGCCTGCTTAGCACAAAGCAGCTACCTCCAAAAGTTTCAGAGTGAAGACACTGAAATCACCATCTGGATCCCACATACTGCTGTCGGATGGGCTTGTTCTTAGTCCAGGTTTCTGAATGTGCAGGAGGCAGATTAACCCGAGCAGTAGGATATGTCAAAGGGCTTCCTTTTGTGATACACAAAACAACAACAACAGCTGGTTAACTCTCTTGGTATGGCTGATGCTTTCCGGAAGCTACATGTCTTTATTTCTTTGAGATTAGTGAGGTTTGTTCATTTACGGGTCACTTATGATTTCTCTTAGCAGATATCCCGGGGAAACATTACACTTTGAGAAATGCTGGCAGAAGTATGAATCAAACTTCTTACCAATGTTTAATGCCCCTTGATCTAGTAATACTGCTCTGGAGAATTTATCCCAAGGAACTGAACAGAGACATGTCAAAGAGTTATACAGAAGGGTATTTATAGTGGTATTGCAACAGTGAGAAATTGGAAATGATCTAAATTTTAGCACATCTATAAGGAAATGGTTCAAATAGTATACATTTGTTAACAAACATGCAACCAATTACAAGCTATGTTTTTGAAGACTTAACAACAGGAAAATACACAATGTTAAGTAAAAAAAAAAAACAGATGAAGGAGAGTTACAGGTCATCTCTGGGTGGTGTAATTGTGGGCACCTTTATGATTTTCCACATTTTCAAAAAATTCTAAAACAAGTTGCTTTTAAAATCAGAATAATAAACATGATTTACACATCGATATATATCTCTAGAAGAAATCCCAGCAAAACTAGGGCAATTTAGCACCCAATTCCTAATAAACATTTGTGGGATAGGTAGGTGGATGGAGGGACAAACGAATGACAATTGACATTTGTAGACACCGTCATTGAGTTTATAAGATGGCAGAAATTACAAAGACTCATTAATTCTAAGACAATATTTCCAGACAGGTCATCAGTTTGAAGGATGACATGGAAGGTACTCAAGGAATCATAAAATTGAGTGGCTGATAGTAGACAAGGAGCTGTGGTCTGCTCTTGGACCCTTTACTGCTCTTGCTGCCCAGCTACTGACATCATGTTTCCTCTTACTCTGTGTGTGTCCTTGCAGTGTTTTTTGTGTCTGCCATTTTCACTGATCCCTATTGGTATGGCTAGGGAGAGTATGTTGAGAACAAAACCAAGATCATAACTTCAATTCCTATTTGAACCAGTTTAGTCTCTCTGTCTAGGTAGAAGGTATCCCGAGACTAACTCTTGTTGACCAACTCTCAGAGATGAGCATACTTGTCATGAGGACAAGCAGGATAGTGTTGGTAGATCAGGGCAGCTTGCTTCTAAAAATTGTGAAATCATTCAAAGCACTCCTTGACAAAGGGTTATGTATTCTATATTCTTGACAGTAATCCTCTGAAACTAAAGTGTGATATATGCATAACTCGAGCTCCCCAAGAAATCCATGTAAAACTTGGGCATGTCACAATTTATGTAACAAATTCACAATAATCTGTTCATGAAAACAGTCAGAGAGACTGATTGACCTGCATTGCATCGTACAAGATCTCAGTTTTTTTTTTGATGTTTTGATTAAATTGCTGAACAGAATCTGGCTTCTTTGCAAATCCATCAGGAGACAACATTGGATGCATGAGTGAAATCTCAATGTTTCCTCTCCAGTGTATTCCTTTATCTGTGAAGCAATGTATGTCAAAGAAAGCCATTAGACTTTTGCATAGCATTCTGTATTTTTGCTCTTGGCAGCTTATTAAACACAGAGTGCTTAATTGCAGTTACTGTTAAACCCAAGTGTATGATCCTAGTGCCAGTGCCTTGTTTCTATCTGCTCTGTCTTTATCCTGCTAAGGTATTTGATTTACTAGTTATCTTTTTCAACCTGAGTCACATCTCTCATTATTCATTTTGAGAAATTATATTCAGAGAATTCACAGGTCTGAGCCAAATCGCTCTGATCCTGTAGTTAATAATATCTGAATATATAGACTCCCTTAAGCAGGTCAACTGGCTGTTTTATTTTTAGCATTTTTAAGAAAGAGGAAGAGAAATTTTTTTTCTGAACACTAACAATGTGCTGTATTTTATTAGGCATTTTCACATGTATTATCTGAGTTAATGCTCACCATAACCATGGAAGGCAGTATTATTAGCTTGGTTTTATAAATAAGGAATATAGCTTTGAGAATTTAAATACATGAATCATAACGTGAACATGATCTGTTGTACTTCACAGCCTGTGGTTTTCCCACCACACGTCTGATGCTAGGGGACAGCAGGGTTTCTCAGACCAAACCTAGTAACACAGTGATCACCTAGCCACCCCTCCACTCCTGCATTTCTCCTGTACCTTTCTTGGAAAAATTTGTTAATTTTAATTTTTGATGGGTAATTATATATATATGATACACATGATGGGATACACATTTACAACATGGAATGATGAAATTTGGCTAAGTTCCATTCCACTTTACTTGTATTACCTGGGCAAGATCCATCCTTTGCAACAAGTCCAGGAGTGAAGCCTTGAATCACCAATATGGAGCATGTTGGCTTGAGCCTGCTTTCAATTTTGTCCAAAATACAGTTGTTTGTATTTTACCTAGTTCCCAGGGTCTCATTAACCCAATCCAAGAATGTGCCTTCTTGTATTTCTGGCATAATTGTTCCTTGATGGATGCTAAACCCTGCAAGGCATCTTGGGTTCCATTATCCACTCAGGAGCTAAGAAGTTCTTCTGTTGTAGGAACATAAAGCCTGCTGTGGTGAAAGCAAGTACCTTCTTCCTCTGGGCTGGCCTGGTAAACAGAGCAACTGCAGTAGAATAGGTCAGTGGGAAACAGGCCAGTTGGGCTGAAGACAGAGGGTGAACATAGGGAGAAAGGAATTTTCAAGAGTAAAGAAACTCAAAGGGATGGCTATTATCCTTTGGACAGCTGATGAACAAAAGCTGGAGGCTAATCTAAGACTCAAAGGGAATTAAGGAAAGCCAAGTGTGAAAATTCATGGTGTGGTGACATCGTTTTAAGAGGAAGATGGCTGGATTCCATCCAGGTTCTGAACATTATAATTTGAGATTTGAAGGAACGTTTGCAAGGGCCTCTTGGGATTAGCCATTACACAGTAAACTCAAATGCATTCTCAGACCAACTTTTTAAAGATATTGAGAGATTAGCTTTCCAGTGTTGGTTCAGCACCAAATCTCAGACAAATTTATACACACGGTTTTACTTTCTTCTTGCTATCTTTTGTTGTCAACTCAGAAGCTTTCTGGAGAGGTAATCTTTTGGTACTTGAGAGCCAAACTCCATGGCACTCCACTGTGGAGACTAAAGGTTGAGAAAAGAGTTACAGGGAAACACAGGAAGGCAGAGCGTGGTTTCTTCCCCGTTTCTGTTCTTGAATTCTTCCTGCCAGGGTTGTTCAGGGGGAACTTAAGCATAATTCCCAGCTGCCAACATTGACATTATCGGTATTCCGTAGAAAGGAGGATGAGGTACCTGCTCTTCAGTCGGTCCTTTGTGCCATCTTGACGCCCTCATCTTGTGCAACTGAGTCTCTCAGAAAATGCACATTAGGAGTAAATGAAAGAAGGTCTAGGTCTGAGGAGCAAAGAGGGTCCAGTCTGCAGAGCTTGGCAGCACCTGCCGTGGCACCTACCTCTTTTCCCTCTTTCCTCCCTCCCACTGTCAGAATTCATGCTTCATTGTCTTCAGCAAAAAGCTACATGTGACATATGAAACAACTAAGGGGAAGAAGCACCAGGAGATTTAAAAGGTGGTAAATTGGGGGGGCATAATAGCAGAAATAATCACAAGATAGGCTATATCCGAAAGGAACTCTATTGGGGTGGGGGGCAGCGTTGTGGCACAGCATGTAAAGCTGTTCCTGTGATGCTGGCATCTCACATGGGCTCCAGTTCGAGTCCTGGCTGCTCCACTACTGATCCAGCTCTTTACTAATGGCCTGGGAAAAGCAGCCAAAGATGGCCCAACTGTTCAGGCCCCTGCCATGCGCGTGGGAGACTGAGAGAATCTCCTGGCTTCTGGTTCCTAGCTTCATCCTAGCCAGCCCTGGCCATTGCGGCCATCTGGGGAGTGAACAAGTGGATGGAAGAATGGACGATCTCTCTGTCTCTCCCTCTTTGACTGTAACTTTGAGTTTCAAATAAATATTAAAAAAAAGAAGAAATCCTATTTGGAGTACTATGATGTGTGGGAAAACACACACTTTAGATTCCAATTGAGATTCTGGAATTATATACAAACTCACGCTATGAAATCTCTGATTTACATCAGGAGGGGCAGGAGGTACAGGAGCCCTTCATTTTACCAAAGCAATTACTTGAGTAAATCACAATAGTAAACACTGAAGAACAGAACCTTACTTCTCTAGTGCTGTGCTGTCCAGTATGGTAGCCACTAGCCACATATGGCTATCAAGCATTTAAAATATGCTTAGTTTAAATTGAAATATTCTGTAAGGTAAAATATACATCACATTTCAAAGACTTGGTATGAACAACACTAATAATTTTGATTACATGTTAAAGTAATATTTTGTACATATATATAGGGTTAATAAAGCATTACTTTTCACTGTTTCTTTTTACCTTTTTAACATGACTACGAGAACATTTGAAATTATGCCTGTGGCTTGCATTATAATTTCTGCTGCGCGGTGCTGCCGTGTTTTTATCAGAATAGGATTTGGTATATAGCATTTTTTTAGCAGTACATTTCTTGCTTTAGATAAGTGTACCTGCACAGGAGATACAGGGCAATTTCAAAAAGGACAGGGAGCAGTGGCGATTTGCAGTGGGGAAAGGGATGGGGCAAGAAGGTTAGGACCCTACCTCAGTTGCCCCTCAGGCTGAGGGTCAGGGGATGCAGGGCGGGGAAGTGGGCTGGCAGATTGCCTGAAGCGAGTGCTCTCTCATTCCCCTTGGCTCCATCCGATCTCCTCCTTGAGTCCCAGAGGGGAGAGGGGAGAGGCACTTTGAAACTTCTAATGCCCTTACCATCTTAGCCATCAAGCTCTGAGTGGGAGATAGTGACGATGTGACAAGAAGTTTCTCTGGGCCTTTCTGGGCCTCCATTCTTGGCTGAGACAAGGAGGAAGAGGAATGCAGTGAGCCCCTTCTTCACTCCCAGGGCCATCTGGTAGAGCTGCTGTCGCACTTCCTTCTGCCAATAGGCATAGATGAGTGGGTTGAGCAAGGAGTTGCCCACACCAAGCAGCCACAGGTACCGTTCCAGTGCTAGGTAGAGCTGGCACTCCTGGCAGGCCACTTGCACGATGCCAGTGATGAAGAAGGGAGCCCAGGACAGAGTGAAGCTCCCAATGAGAACAGACACAGTGCGGACGGCCTTGAAGTCACTGGGAGTCCTTGGAGGCCGGTAAGCTCCAGCCATGGCTCCTGCATGTTCCATCTTTCGGATTTGCTGGCTGTGCATGAAGGCAACCTTGAGCATGTCACAGTAGAAGAAGACAAAGAGGAGCTGGGCTGGGAAGAAGCCAACGCAGAAGAGGGTCAGCACGAAGCGAGGGTGAAACACAGCAAAGAAGCTGCAGGGCCCCTGGTAGGTGGTCTGCTGGAATACGGGGACTCCGAGTGGGAGGAAGCCAATGAAGTAAGACAACAGCCACAGCCCGGCAATGCATGCCCCAGCCACGAGCCCACTCATGATCTGGAAGTAGCGGAGGGGCTGCTTGATGGCAAGGTACCTGTCAAAGGCAATCAGCATGACCGTGAGGACAGAGGCAGCTGCAGAGGAAGTGACAAATGCCATCCGAAGGCTGCACAACGTCTTCTGTGTGGACCGAGCAGAGTTGGAGACCTGGTCTGAGACCAGGCCAGAGATGGCCACGCCAATCAAGGTGTCAGCCACAGCCAGATTCAAGGTGAAGCAGAGACCGACACCGTCACTCCTGTGGATCAACAGCAGCACAGCCAGGGCCACTAGTGCATTGGCAGCAATGATGAGGGAGGCCAGCACAGCAAGGATCACTCCGAATGAGAAAGAGGGCTCCATGTCTGGAAGTGGCAGGACTTCCACTTACCAGGTCATGCCGGCTCTCCAGCTCAAATTCTCATGGGCCAGGCGCTGAGCAGCTGTGGGTTCAGAGCTACAGTGCAATTCTGGCCACTGCCGGCAGTCCGGGCTGGCAGCTGGCCATCCTGTGGGTCATTAAGAAGTCCTCCTCTTTTTCAGTCTTGAGCCTGCTGTCTCTCCAGCTCTCTGAAGGCAGCAGTCCCTGTGCAGACCTCCCCCTGGTCTTGAACTGGTCCCTCCCCCTGACAACAAGCGAGTCACCAGACAACTCTCAAGTACCTGGTGTCTCGCCAGGCCCTCTCTTTACTGATGCTTCAAGGACTTTGTTTGGAGGCATTGGGGCATTAACCAGGTATCCTGTCTGACAGAAGATATAATTGACTCTAATCACACATTTTCTCCCTCCATAGCTTGATGTTAAATTTCTACTTCTTCCTAAGCCGGAGTAATTTTGGCTTAATTCAGCACTTGCTTAAGAAATAATTCTGCTACTATTACGATTGCTTTTAATCAAGCAAGATGCTCATCATCCATTGAAATGGGGAGGGCAGGGGAGCTCTTTGAGGAGCCCAGCATACTTTCAGGGGTGTTGCCACACATTGAGGCTGTTTCTGACATTTTGTTTCATGGCAGCTTACATCCTAAATCAAATACGGTATGCTGTTCCACTCTTTCTTATTCTTTGGAACTCAATTTATTGAGGATGTGGAAGGACAGGAATAAAAAAGCAAAAAATTGTTAATAGCTGCCATTCAGTTGAGAAGAGAGCCCATTCTTGTCATTCAGTTTAAAATAGAGCCCCCTCCTCCAGCCTAATGCTGCTGACAAGCTTGTTCTTGGTCCTGTAGACTGGAGGTTATCACTGGGGGCAGGAGCAGAAGCAGGGTAGACTCCATTCAGGCTGTGGAATTTTCCATTTTCCAAGGATGTGCCAAAGGGAGGCAGTGTTGCTGAATCAGGAGAGATGGGCTCAGGAGAGGCACTCGTATGCTAGGTTGTATAACCATTTGCCCGGGTACATTAGAACTAACCTTTTGCCTCCTATTCTCATCTTGGATACCAAGAAGAGAGCGTTGGGGAGAAGAGTGGTTCGAAGCTTATTTACTCAGTTAAGGTGAGAGCACAGATGGGAAAGGTTAGTGTTTTAAGTGAGGGAGTGGAGAGCAAGGTGCAGAGTTGGAGGCAAATATTGTAGGGCAGGATGTTTTGACAGCCTGAGAGGGCCCCTTGCAGATGTCTCTCCTAGGAAGGCTCAGAAAAGCTGTGTCACTGAGATTCAGTCTTCCGGTTGCCTGCCTGAGAACAAGTCTTGTTGTTAGGTACATGCGTCAGGAAGCTGAGTTCAGTTGCTTAGAACCTGGTTGAATTTGATACATGCATCTAAAGTGCACTTTTGTTTCCCCGGTGGCCATTTATAAGCCCATGTTCAATCTTAAGAATGCATCAGAGAGGGCTTGTTAAAACACAGTCTTGGGGCCACCGCGCTGTGGTGCAGTGTCTTAAAGCCCCAGCCTGCTAGTGTCGATATCCCATATGGGTGCTGGTTCGAGTCCTTGCTGTTCTACTTCCAATCCAGCTCCCTACTAATGTGCCTGGGAAAGCAGTAGGAGATAATAAATCTTTTTTTTTTTTTTTTTTTTTGGACAGGCAGAGTGGATAGTGAGAGAGAGAGACAGAGAGAAAGGTCTTCCTTTGCCGTTGGTTCACCCTCCAATGGCCGCCATGGCTGGCACTCTGCGGCCGGTGCACCGCGCTGATCCAAAGCCAGGAGCCAGGTACTTCTCCTGGTCTCCCATGGGGTGCAGGGCCCAAGCACTTGGGCCATCCTCCACTGCCTTCCTGGGCCACAGCAGAGAGCTGGCCTGGAAGAGGGGCAACCGGAACAGAATCCGGCGCCCCGACCAGGACTAGAACCCGGTGTGCCGGCACTGCTAGGTGGAGGATTAGCCTATTAAGCCATGGCGCCATCCAGGAGATAATAAATCTTAAAATAACATATTTTTTTAAGAAATCTTTTTATAAGAAAAAACAGTCTTGGCCTCACCCCCAGAGTTTCAGATTCAGTAGGGCTGAGTGGGCCTGAGAATCTGCATTTTTAACACATTTTCAAATGCTGGCTCAGGAGAATAATGGCTTTAATGCAATTTTCTTCTTCTTCTCCTTCTTCTTCTTCTTCTTCTAAAGATTTGATTTATTTGTTTGAGAGCTAGATTTACAGACAGTGAGAGGCCGAGACAGAGAGAAAGGTCTTCCATCTGCTGGTTTACTCTCCAAATGGCCGGAGCTGGGCCAATCTGAAGCCAGGAGCCAGGTGCGTCTTCCGGGTCTCCCATGTGGGTGCAGGGGCCCAAGCGCTTGGGCCATCTTCCACTGCTTTCCCAGGCCATAGCAGAGAGCTGGATCAGAAGTGGAGCAGCCAGGATAGGAACCGGCATCTATATGGGATGCCGGTGCTACAGCTGGAGGATTACTACTACTACTGTGGCACATTGCCAGCCTCATTGGAGATTTATTTATTTATTTGAAAGGCAGAGCAAGAGAGAGAGAGAAGCAGACAAATCTTCCATCTACTGGTTCACTCCCCAAATGGCCACATTGGCTGGGGCTTGGCCAAGCCAAAGCCAGGAGTCTGGAACTCCGTCTGGGTCTCCCACGTGGGTGGCAGGATTCCAGGTACTTAGTCCATCTTCCCTGCTTTCCTTGGCACATTAATAGGAAGCTGAATTGGAAGGGTTTTTCAGACCACACAAAAGTGCATGTGCCACACACATATAAACACAGACGCGTAAAAAAGAGGGGCTTTTATATATAATTTGCACATTATAAACATACACATATATGAGGTACTTCAAAAAGTTCATGGAGAATGGAATTAAGAGATGAGAAGTTTATTTTGGCTGGGGTGGATGTTCGGCGAAGTGGTTCGGATGGTGCTTGGTATGTTTGCCTCCCGTATCAGAGAGCCTGGGTTTGGTGCCTAGTCCCAGCTCCGGACTGCAGCTCCCTATTAATGCACACTCTGGGAGGCAGTGGTGATGGGTCAAGTAGTTGGGTCTCTGTATCGGGAATTGGCAGACAGGCAAGCAACTTGTGCAGGACACATGGGCAGCCACTAGGAATCTGTCCTGTTTCACATCAAACACAAAGACTACACTGTTGTCCCCTTGCTAGTCGGTGCCTCTGTGCCTTTGCCAATCCTAATTCTGACTTCAAGCTGATACTTTGATACTGTTTTTTTTCCCAAACGTGGCTGGGCTGAGAATAAGGAGATTTTTTTGGTTGATAAGGTCTAGTGATCATGGAAAATGTGGATCATTTTAACCCAGGCCCAAGAAGTAGATAAATCTGGACTCGTGTATTTATCTGCCCACTCTTCCTTTCCATTCTTGCTGTTGCCACTCTCATTTGGCACTTTATTATCTTTTCTCTGCACTATTGTAGCCATGTCATTGTGCATCCTCTCTCCTCACATGAACATCCCCCTAACAGCATGTTTGTTGAGTGCCTACTCTCTGCTACTTACTATGCTAGGAAAGAGCTTTTTCATACGCTCAGTTGTTCAGTTGTCACACAGTGAGCTGGGGGTTATTATTATCCCCATTTGCAAGTGAAGAAGCCTAGGCTTGCAGAGGTGAGGGGATCTTCCCCAAGGTTATGCAGGGTAGGTGGGGCACATCCAGCCCAGGCCATATAAGGCCTGCTAAAAGGTTTGGTCTGGCCCAGCCAAGGCAACCGCAGGTGGGACTTGAAATTCAATAAATCTATTGCAGGCTAATTTTTTTTACAGTTTTTACAAGTATTGTTTATTTTAATGAACCTGGTACAGACAATGTCCATTTAAAACCCATATCTCAGGCCAAAAATTACAAATGAAATCAAAAGGAGCAGTGTTCTGTTGTACACACTTCTGCATGAATAATTTCATTAACTGCTTATGAAAGTCAGAACTTTTATGGGATCTTCTGACAAGATTTTTTTTTAAATCTTAAAATGCTTTCTCTTCAGTGAAGCCATCTTTGGAGTTAGTCATTTCTTTTTTTTTTTTTTAAGATTTATTTTATTTATTTGAAAGACAGAGTTACAGAGAGAGGTAGAGACAGAGAGAGGTCTTCCATCTGCTGGTTCACTCCCTGGATGGCTGCAACGGCCAGAGCTGCACCGATCTGAAGCCAGGAGCCAGGAGCTTCTTCTGGGTCTCCCATGTGGGTACAGGGGTCCAAGGACTTGGGCCATCTTCTACTGCTTTCCCAGGCCATAGCAGAGAGCTGGACTGGAAGAGGAGCAGCCGGGACTAGAACTGGCGCCCATATCGGATGCCGGCGCTTCAGGCCAGGGCTTTAACCTGTTGCACCACAGCACCAGCCCCAGTTAGTCATTTATCTCACCAAATCTGTCATCTTGACACCAACCTGCTATTCCTCTTCTTTAGGTCCAGACTGTCAGATTTTTAGAAGTAGCTTCAAGTTAAGGAAAGGTCATTTTCCCACAGTTGTGTCCTCTGAACAATTTCCATCTCCCACTGAAAGTCACAGTCCAAGAGTGAAGCAGTCACCTGTTAGGATCTCAGGGCCAATTGGAAAGTCATTCTTAATTATTACCACAAGCCTGAAAATGCACAGTCCTGAAAAAAGTGGCCTCTCTGTACACACGGAATCATGAAAAGAGAGAGAGGGCCCTCTGAAGGAGCCGAGGCTTGATCACCAAAAATCAGCGCGAGGAAAACAAGAATGGATAGCACCAGAATTCAAATTCCCAGATGTTTTAAAGAGACGGGGTGCCAGTTTTGAATTCTGTTTTGAACACCACATTACAAAAGAACGATTTTTACAAATAAAAAAGGATTAAGGGAAAAGAAAACGAATAAAAAGAATATCTAAACCGTGGAATGACCCCCTGTTTGTTCCTGATAAACTTCAGTCACATCTTCTTCCTCCATTCCCAGTTCGTTTGGAGTATGATTATCAGCGATTCTCTGACCTTCAAAGAGAAACCTGAATGAATTCATTGGAACGCCCTGTCTTTGACAGTATGATTCTTTGAGTTGCTTGAGATGTGTTATCATTTTCACTTTGAAGTGAATCTCACTGCTATCTTCTCATGCAGGACCTCTGTCCTCAAAGAGTTGTATTGTAATTATGTCTAAGTGCTTGCAAGAGATGTGTCAT